CCTCTACCAGGCACCGCGGATCGCTGGAAAAATAGTAGAAATTGGCGGAAATAAAGGGATAGTATACCAGAGAAGATTCCGGGGAATTGAAGATCCAATTCGCGACCCACGGAATAAGATGAAAGACATATGGATTCCTTAGGTTTGTACTGTTGTTATGAGTGCAAGGATGAAGTAAAAACTCACGGGGACTTACGTTTTTTCTAAGCGCAAGTATATGCTAGGGACTATGGCATCAAAGACTAAACACAGACTTATTTCCCATCTCGATACATGCAAGGGTCACAATGAGAAAAATTAAGCTCTTTTCATGTCCTACTGTTGTTTCATTCTTGGTAGGGATGTTTTCTGTACCTGGTTAAAAAATGTATCGAGTTGTGCAGTAGACTCACCTCACCGGTCCCATAGCAGTCTGTACTGCCGTCGGGGCAACTAAACTGTCAACCAGACTCATCCACCCAGGGCGGTTCTCAGCTATACTTGTCAGGTGACTCAGGGGATGTCCTGTCCATTCCTTCAGGTCACTAGTCCAGGTCCTTCGAGGGCGCCCCCTCAGTCGTCCACCCTCCGCCTTCCATTGCAGTGTAGTGTGAGCTAAGGTACCCTTCGCTCTCTACAGTATAGATACACGTTAATTTTGAAGCTACACAAAAATACGATTGGGAGCATGGAAACGTCACTGATGTGGCTTCTTATTTTTGGCGTGTTCTCGTTCAGTAGCAGTAAGTAGAGAGGTTGTTTTGACGTTATTTATTCCTGTTTAATTACCTTCTAGTGGAAAATACAACAGTAGTGCCCTACAGCATACTCTTACATCAATGTAGCAGATAACGAGCAAGGTTTTGTTTACAAGTGTGTTGTACATTTTTACAGTTTTTTTTGTGTTTATGATATAGATTAGGCTCTGATTTATTGTTTTGTCTTTTATGTTTACGAAGTGATGCATTTCATTCCTTTTATACGTTATGGGGTATGTGTATATTTGATGTTTCCACCGAATCAAAAAAATTACTAAAATGCTCGAGAACATTATATTAAAGTTGTTCTAGTGACAAATGCATATGTTGTAATAGTTGGCAGTAAACTTAGCACAATATATCATTTCTTATAGTTAACATCTTGAAGGTTTATGATGTCATAATTTCGAAATGTTGGAATCTTTTTTTGGCCCGCCTAATTCTTTTCGCCCGTTCTCATAGAGTCTGAGAAGGATATCATCCATAATATTTACCCGAGCAAATTTCTGTCCACAATAAGAAATTTATTTTTCACGTAGAAATAACGGCATGATGTTCTCAATACTTTGTGAGACCCTAAAAACGTTAACGCATTTTAGTAGACAATTCGTTTGAACTTGACATGCTATTCTGCCGTATCTTTCATCGATATAAAAACTACGCTGTCATGAAGGTTAAACGAATAACATACAGAGTCTGGTATGGCGAATAATTAGACTCTTCATTTTGATTTGCTTAGTTTTATTTAAATATATAGAAGTCATCTTCACTCAGCTTGAAAAAGACTTATATCATAGCCATTCGTGGGCATGTCTGCCAAAAATGTAGTGTGGCATACAACGCTATGTATTTTCAGCAAAAAGCCTGATATATATATACATATATATATATATATATATATATATATATATATATATATATATATATATATATATATATATATATATAGTATACTATACTA